CACGCAACCACAAACACAATCACAAACACACAACCACAAACACACAACCACAAACACAATCACAAACACAACCACAAACACACAACCACAAACACACAACCACAAACACAGCCACAAACACAACCGCAAACACATCCACAAACACACAATCACAAACACACAGCCACAAACACACAATCACAACCACAACCACAACACAGCACACAACCACAACCACAACATAACCACAGCACACAACCCGAGGACCCACAAGCAAAATCGAGAACTACAATATTCACGACCATGGCAACATGCTCCTCACTATGGCATCAAGACAAATGATTGAAATGTCATGGTGGGGATCACTCGAAGTAAAGTAAATTTCTTTTAAGTCAAGTTGTTGTCGCTTGGACTTTTTGGTCTCTTGGGTAGTTTGTGGATTTTGTTGGACCGTGCTGCAGCGGAGGTAGTATCAAACTACCCAATCTGGACACTCCTCCTGCAGAGTTGAGTGGTGATGGGCCTGCACAGAGTTCAGCGTCCTCCAGCTTGCCTGTTTTTCAAGGTGTTTGGCCTACACCAAACAGTTGTTTTCCAAGAGTGACTCTTTTTGTGGAGCCAGCTTAATACAAAACAACTTTATTTAAATTGGTGCGGTGCGTTCCTCTTGGTTTGGTTTGGTTCTTCTTATTGCAGCCGCATAAAGTGGCAGGTGCTGCTGTTTGGCAGGAATGTGCGATTGTGCGGGGATGCGTGTGATTGCTCATTGATTGAGAGACCCTAGACTCTAGACATTTAAGACACCGTGTCTCGTTTGTGAGGCACCTCCATACAGGCAGCGCATTCATCGAAACACCCGCCAGCCAGACACGCCGCGGATGTGCCCGCTGGGGGAGGAGGAGGGGTCGGAGCGGACCGGCGATATGCGCATAAGTCCCGGAGCCGACTGCTTTTGCACTTGGACCTGTTGCTGTGAAATCAAGGCCAACAAAGGCAACATCAACAACTGCTGGCTTGCCTTCCAGTGATTTGCACGCAACTGATAATAAAATCATATAAATCAACCGATTGTAAATTGGAAGTGTTGTGGTGAACTTCAACACAATTGCTTATTGCTCAAGCCTGGACAGTCGCTCATATTTTGCTTCGCAGGCCCTGCGGCAGGAAAGCCAGCTCCTGGCTATTTGCTTGTTGGCGGTTTCGAGGCGTCGCAGATGAGGTTCAGCAGTTGTGCTCCTCACACTTCTATTGGAGGATGAAAATACCTTCAATATATATATATATAATATATATATACATATAATTTGTGAGTTTTGTCCGCTACTCCCATGGACTACAACCCCGCCAAAACCTCAAACCATGTTCGACCAGTTTCGAAGTGCTAGGCCAGCTTTCCGCTTCCGGGGCTCAGCGGAACGATGACTAGTAGCGTCCTCTTGTTGCTAGTAGTAATGCCAGGAGCACCCCTAGTAGCTTCCTTGCTCCTAGTGGCAATGCCCTTTGTTACTAGTAGCTTCTTGTTGCTATGCTTTTTTGACCTCCCAGGTGCGTCAGACGCAGCTCCCCGATCCGAAGCTTTTGGGCCCCTCCTTCGACGTTGCCGTCGTAGCGCGGACGGTAACCGAGCTCGCTCGGTCGGTGCTTTGTCGATGCACTTTTTCTTAGCGATTTTGGAGAGTCGGGATTTCAACAACATTCAACAACTGTATATACTATAAAATACTCATGGTATGATTCCAAGTGAAGGCGATAATCTCTACTCCTCTCGGTGGCTCGCGTGGAAGCAGACACTGAAACATGACACTGAAACATCATCACGGTCATCAAATATGTAAAAATAACATGGGAGGAGCATATCAGTTCAAGTGCCCTAAGGAGTTGTGAGGGTTGTGATGTAGCATCCCGTTGATGCCTGGGAGGGTTGACCCCAAATCAGGTTTTTCCAAGACAGATCAGATAGGTACATGAGCTTTTGACTGAAGTCCGTTCAATATACCAGAACATTAAGAAAATACAATCAATGCTTGTTCAGAAAGGTTGTGAGACTTCTGGGATTTGGTCGTCATGCGCTTAAATCCAACCGGATTTGTAATGCCAAGATATGGTTTGATAGCCCATCCAAGCATCCATATCCACAGTGGAGGAGGGGAGCACCTTTCCAGCCATCCATCCTATACAATCCATGGTGTGCTTCAAGCGCGACCGGCCGTCCCAGGCCAAGCTTCAGAATCGATATGGGATGGCTGCCGCTCTCTTCAAGGTATTCATGATCCGAATTTGTTCTTCAAATTGTGTGCCAACTTGCAAGGTGTGGTCAAGACAATTGATTAAGGGAGTGGATAGAGAAAGGAACATTGCAGCCTAGGAGCAAGCAGCCTTGCGCCTCTACTTGGGTTGCAACCTCGATATGCAGGAGCAAAGCCATGATGCTGTAAATGCTGCACGTGGCTGTGTGCCCGGACGCAGTCGCATGCTTTAACCCGTGAGTGGAAACTTTGACTTACTATGATACAATATGGATAAATATGGTAGACACATGCAGATACCGTAGCGCCGTAGGGCTTTGAAGTCATTCATTTGCAAAGACTAACAGATTGTCAGCCGCTTCCAGGAGGCAGTTCGTCGCTATGACGGGATCCTCGAGTGGCGACAGCGGCACTGCCTTCACCTCAGTCCTCAGTTATGAAGAATTGCATGCAAAAGGTTGTGCAAAGCAATGAACCTCTCAATTGACCTTACAATTTACAACAATTCGATCCTTTGAGAGAACAAGTGAGAGAGTATAAAACCACCCCGTGTAAGAAATTAGTATTCGCATGTCCGTTTTTCTGGAAGCATGCCCAACCCCCCGTAAAACGATCGGGAAGAAACAAAACCGATAACCCCTGATGACTCTTGTGGAAAACCCTTGACATGCGAGAAGTGGTGTGAAGAAAACGCGTGCACACACACTAACAGAAAACCTACTGTTCCAAATTGTCGGGGTCAATGCATGACTGCTCTTGGTGGGTATGTGCTTGGACAGAGGTGGGAGGGCTTGGACCACTGTAGCCTTGGCTTGCTACAGCACTGTTGTGCCGCATGCTTGTCCCACTTGCACCAGGCATGAAAACGATAACAAAAACGATAACACAGCGAACCTAAAACACCTACATGGGCGTAGTTGGAATGAAGTGCGCCTAATGTCGATTCCACACACTGCATGCATGTAATGCACACACTACATTATACATCATTATACTGCTACATTTGTTGCAGTTAGTCAAAGTGCTGTATAACGATAAGTAAGAAAAAACACGATAACGTCAAAAGTTCAAAAGAGTTTTGTTTTACACGACCTCAAGTGTGAATCAGTTTGGCGGCCTCTCTAAGTTGCTGATGACTTGCGGCAGACATTGCACTCCAAGATCAATTCATCAGAGCCGATCTTGCCTCCATTTCAAGAGCAGGCAGACCCCGGAAGCTGTGGTTCATACATTGGGATTGGTTGCACCATGTTGCACCTGAGGAGCACAGTCACCTCGATATCTCAGTCTGTTCTGATAGGCAATTCTGTGTCCTTTGCAAGGTGCCCCACCAGATGTTCACAAGGTCTTGTGATGGCCACTCGCGGGAACAAACAGTTTGTTTGCTTGGTTTGGCTTTGCAACAAGTCTGGCTAGTGGGTCAACAAACCCGGTTGTCAGTTTGTGCAGACTCAAGTGGCTGGCCCTTGTGTTCCGTTTTGGGCAGACGTACCGTTTTAGGGCACAATATCTTGAGTAGCCTGAAGATGCCTGGAGGAGCTTTCCCCGAGAAGTTTGTATAGATACCGTCTCGGGTTCATTAATTTTACTGCTTTCCCCACTCCATAGTTGGAAGGATGAAGGATGGCCATCAACACCAAAACCCATTGGCCTCCCACTGATGTCGGCAACTGCAGTTTTTGGAGATTCCTTGTTCCGCGGCGGTGTTTTGGCACGGGGAATGCAGAAACCCTCTTTTTGTGCTTATACTGGAGGGGAGGCCATCGCTATAGTTATTCATCTAGGAACCAAATCCAAGTTTGCCTAAAAGTCTAGGAACCAAATCCTATACCTAGGAGCTTAATAGTAAGGTACTAGCTACTGCTCCCTTACTTAATTAAGTAGGCAGAGGGGGAGCAGGCATCCTTTTGCTATTAGGTTGTGTTTTGTTTTTTTCTCTCGACAGGTTGCCCAATTGGTCATCGTGAACCCCTGTGTGCTGGTGGCCATCGATGGCTCCCCAGTGTCAATCTATCATGTGGGCACGGCACAGACGAAGGCACAGGTGCATGACGACCAGCTTCAAAGGCGGGAGTACAGACTGACAGAAAATTGAGACATGCTAGTCGCTAGTCTAGTGGAAGATGAAAGTTGGACATGACTCATGACATGGGTTTGACAATTCTAGGTAGTTTGCCAACTGCAAAGCATCATTTCGAAAGGATTTGAGACCCTTGAACGCTTTGAAAGACAGGTCCGGAACGCCAGCTGCCCTACTCGCAGGTGGAGCCTTTTCACGGCGGAGTATGTTGATATTTGGCTCACCCAGCAATCCGCAAGAAGCGGCCGGCTTGCAGGACATGGGTCAGCGGGGACTTGCAGTGCAAGCAATCTGAACCTATTTACATGAAGGATCATGCAGGTTTTACCAAGACGGATGTGATTGCGCAGGACATGTACAGATCTACGACCTGCACAATGTGAGTTTCTGGCCCCTTGGTTGTATCATATTTTATCAAGCCATGTGGGTTCAAAAGAAATCAGCCACGACTTCCTGAGGCAAATCTCCAGTGGAGCATTATTTGAGAAGCTGAAGATCTTGCTTGGGGCTGGCCAGCCACTTGGACCTGAAGCGGGCCCCATCCATGGTTTTGCTTGGAGAAGGCATGGTGACGTTTGTTGGAATCTTTTTGCATAGCGGCCTTCCCTCTTGAGAGCACCCCCCTTCTGCTCACGTTTGCAAGACTGAGGAACTATATGGAGCAGGTGCGGGATCGTCCGCTAACTGGGCGTGCAAACCACTTTTGCTTGACTAAAAGCACGCCTGATCCGCTCGCGGAGGGGTACACTTTTGGAGCGGCTGTCAGGTCTCGAGCATCTTCGTGATTCGTTCTGGATCGATGTTTTCAATGGCCTGGAAATTCATCAAGGCACCGGATTAGGATTTGCGTTTTGTCATTTGGACCAATTAGTCAACATTACTAACATTACACCATATCCAGCCTTTGTCTTTCACAGTTGCTACCATCGGAGAGTCTTTAGTGGTCACTTGTGAAAGCTCACGGCAACGCTCCTGCTTCATAGAAATTGCCAAGCGGCTCAGGGATCATTTTGACGTGTTTTAAAGACATTTTGAGTGTCAACCATCAACCCACCGCCCAAGCCCTACAAGGGGTGGATTGCGCCACGAACAGCTTCCAAGATACACGCTCTTTGGTTGGCAAGTGCTGCGTGTGTGGGGTCATTCACCGCAGTTTTTGGAGGCCTTGCAGGCAAAAACAATGCAAGCGCAGCTGTGGTTGAGGTGTCCAACGACATCCCGAAGGATTTGATTCAGCTTCTCGGGCCCAACTCTTCCCTCCTGCCACTGTTGAAGACGCCACAATGGCTGCAGCCTTGGACGTCGACTGCCAGATGGAACTCACATCCATCGCCCTAAGGACCCCAGCTATGGAGCGCCCGGCGCACGAAAGTGCCCGCACAGCATGAATGCTCGCGCCGCGGGAACCAGCTGGAACAGGCCCCTGTGGCAACGCATTGTTTTTTTTCTAACGACTGAACATCAAAAATTAATCAACAAAAAAGCCTCTTATATCTTTTATAGAGTTGTTTTGGCAACGCTGGCTGGGCTGTGGAAAGAGACAGGGTCGAGTGGCTTGCACCCAAAGTTGGTGAATTAGTCTCACAATATTGCGCACGAGCTCGCTCTCGTAATGAGTTGCGGAATAAGAACCTTGGAAGCAGCGAGCTTCCTAGAGTTGACGCTCCTTCAAAGTCAAGGGCTCAGTTGTCATTTAGCCCTGGTAGGCTGAGAGGCTTGCCATTGATTCTTTTCATGTTGGACGACATTGGCAGCTTCTGTGCAGTGTATTTGTCGACATGACAAGTGAACTTCCCATACAAGCAAGTTCCAGCATGTTCTCATTGTGTGGCACGGAAACTGAAAACTCAAACCAGCACATTGTTGGAGTGCAGGAAAACTGGAGGGGGGGGCAGGGCGGTCACAAATTCCACTGGCAAGGGTATAGGATCGTTTCAGTAATTGGTGGATTGGTGGATTCTTTCGAATGGTTGTTTAATGATTTAAGGATGTTTGCGGTTTGTTTGTTTGGCTGTGCAGTTCCACTGCAGTTTGTGGAATGCAACGTGTTTGCTCTGAAGCTCGTGGATGTGTTGGATTTATTGATTGTTGAGGTACCACGGTGAGAGTCCCAGGAAGAGATGCCCAAGACCATCCAAGATCATCCCTCACACATTCAATCGCTGATATGCCTTGCTCGACATCACGTTTGGGCGGTTTTGAGGTCCAAATCAGCAAACAGCTGGATACATGTCGATCATGAAAGTGTGATCCCACCACTGTATATCATCAAACATTCAAACTATTTGTCAGTTGTAACAATTTGCCACACATGTTGGATTTTTTGGTTCCGACGTTGACTGTCCAAGGTTCCTTTTGTTTGATGCAATTCAAAAGTTTAATTGCGGACATGTATTTTTTTTGGTGTGTGTGTGTGTTTTCATCAGTTCTTGTGGATGCCATGGTGCATTGGGCAGCTGGAGTTGGAGCAGCGATCTCAATCAAGGTATCGTCTTCTATAGAATCTTGGGCAGAGAGTTCAGCCAGTTGGTGCGTCCTGTTGTAATGTGAGTTTGCTGCAACACAAAAATTTGGGTGATAATTCAAAACAGAAACTTAAATGCAAGATGTTGCATATTATATACAATTGTTGCAATCTTTGCACGACGCAGGTAGAAATGCGAATGAGTACAATTCAATGAGTGAGGGATTCCAACAGGGAAACTTCAAGGACCATATGCAAAGTTGATGCAGTTTGACGGTGCGCACATTGCATGTCACTTGCTTCTCACAAATGCCAAGGATGATGTAGTGTGGCTGGCACCCTTTCTCACGAACAATGTCAGCCAGCTCTCCCGAACCAGAAACACTGCGATCTATGTATCAGTGTGTTTGGTGGCTTTCCAGCAGAGAGAAGGTTCACGAGGGTCACAAGGCTTGATGTGTTGATCAAGGTCCAGCAGATTGGATCACACGTGGGACGGGCATGTAATACTGACACCAGAGCCATCAATTTGCATTGTGTACGGAGATGCAGTTGTAATTGGGGTCGTGGGTGCATGTTGTTCTGGTCGCAGTCAGTTCCTTTGGTTTGTTTGGTTGGCGGTGTTTGGCAATTTGGTCACCTTCATCCGAGGTACAGACGATGTTAGCAATGTGCATTGCGTATTCCGGCAACAAGATCGTGGCACTTCGGTTGATGTTAGCAATTTGATGCAATTTGTTTTCTGCTGCAACAGCAATCCCGCTCCCAAATTGTATTGTTGTGTTTTGTTATAGTTTGCTTGGGTTTAGAGTCTAGATCCCTCATTTTGTTGGTCATAGTCATAGACCTACTATCCTGAGAGAAACTTCATCCCGAGCTGCCGCTGCAGGCTTAGCCGAATTAGACATTTGCTTTCGGCATATTTTGGTGACAGGGACTCGAGATGCCAAGGAATACCTAACTCGAGATGCCAAAGATGCTTGGTCGTCTGAGAAGATCCTCACGGTCCTAGCTGGGTCCATGTTGGCGCTTTACTCAATAAAGTTGCTCTATGAATGGTGGACAGAGAGCGAGGAAGAGAATGATGAGAAGGATGAGGAAGGTGAGCAACAGAGACTTGACAAACTACTATGGAAAGGAATCTGTGAATTCAGCCTGCCAGGAGCAGTTACTTTTGTTTTGCAAACGCCTCGCAACTCAGAATCATGCATTGTGAAATGTGTGAAATGTACTTCTTTGCCCGGCAATGTGCCGAGTTATCTCCAACCAAGGAGATATGCAAAAGTTAGTCCTGAGACCGATGTCGAGGATGGCGAACTGACTCCCATGTGGCAGGAACACAAGCATTTTGGATGCAAGGAGATGCACAGTAGAAGTTGTAAAGAGGAGTACTGTTAATTTGCATTAATTTACAATATGAAGATATTATGAAATACTATGAATATATACGGATACGATATATAAAATATAATATATTATGATAAATTTGTGCACTTGCAAGAACTTATAGCATGTCTATCCCTGAAGACTTAAGATGTCGTTGTTGCCACACAAAAAAAGCTGCTTAGGCATAATGACTCATCCAATGAGATCGCATCTTGGACTGTTTCATGCAAGACTTTTCGCTTAGAAAGAGCACACACGGAGGCACGGCAAGCACAATTGATACTCTTATCCACCACATTGTAACTTCACTTTCTAGTGCAAGAGATTTGTCTGAGTTACTGCAGAATAGCCATTTCCTCAAAGCAATTCCTATAGTTTGTTTTGCATAGTATGTATAAAACATTGAGTTCGGTGTTCGTCCTTTGTTCACCTTTCCAAGAGTGGTCTTCTCAAGAAACAAAAACTGCCTAGGAGATCCAAAGCAAAGCTCCGTCCCAAAAGGAGCCTTTGGCAGCAGAAGCAGTTTGGGCGGAAGTGCAAAATGCAGATTCAACACAGTTGGAGTTTCAATGAAAACGAATTGCCGAGATGTCATTGGTACCATGCAATGCCGCCCTATCTTCTCAGGAAGTGCAAAAACGGTGCTGTTTTTCTGTGGAGTTATTGTTGCAGACACACCAGAATTGTTATATACTGTAACTATTTTGTTTCTCAACTTCGGCCTTTTTTGCTTCGTTGACCCTTGACCCACGCCGTCGAAACAGTATGTCGAACTTGTTGAACTTGACCCTTGACCCACGTCAGATGAGTGTAACAAGATGTCATGTCACATAAGAACCCCCAGCAATTTTACGATTCCCAACCCTTGTGTCCACAGGAGATTGGACAAGGTTGGGCTTTCGAGCTCCACGGAAGACTGCACAGATCCGCTTTTCGACGGCTGTTTTTGAATGACATGATCCCAGGAGACTGCACAGACACAGACGTTGTTCGTGATTGCCTTCATTGGCTCGTTGGACGATCTCACGCTATTTGTGCCAATGCTGGTGGGGAAGGGGTACCTTGGCATGCCTTGGCAATGGGAATTCTTGAGTTTGTTCAGAAGATGTTGAGTTGAATATACTCAAGAGCCAGGTTGCGGTGCTGTCAGGGACCTTTGACTTGGGGCTATTGTTATCATGAAAGTGGCCAAAACTGATGGCGTTTTGGACATATGTCTTCCGAACAGTTGTCAAAATCTACAAATTATTATTTACCGTGCACTGTAAACATGGATTTGCAAGATGATGCAAAAGCGCAACACAGTACAAGCTTGCGATCAACATGTTCACAAGAAACAGTTGTGCCTGGCGGTGCCTCTTCGGCGACTTGCCGACCAAGTTGTCCCACAGAAACTCGCAGGTTGCATCAGGTTGCGTTGTCCGACTTGTCGCTGCACTGCCAAACCTTGATTTATCTTGTTTCGTTTCTGTTTTGTTTGTTTTGTTTTTTTAAGGGAAACTTAACTATAGCGGTGGCCTCCAACCCAATAGCTGCCTCCAACCTAATGGATTTATTGCTGCTGTGTATATTATATATATACAGTGTTCCAATTTTGATGGTCAGTGTGCGCGCAAGCTCTTCGACCAATTCCACTTGCCTATACCGAAACAACACCAGTGCCGAACCGATGCTCTGACTGGGCTTTGGCCGAATTGAGCTGCTCCACAAACAATCTACGGCATGTTTTGTTAGGCACACTTGTCAGCGAAACACATCAACCGTCCACAAGACATGACAATCCCGGAAAATCAGAACAGCCAACATAGCATGAACTATGAACACACACACGTTTTCACACCGGACCACTCAAGTCAAGATACCATTGAAACCCGGTTGAATTGGTGTCCTATGTTAAATCACTGAGGCGGAGTCTACCTCAGCTTCCATCGCCACCCAACCCAATCCCTAACATTACCACAACGAGCAAAGATGTTGAACCCCTATGCATTTGTCGAGTTTGGCACCAGGATCCCTCATGGTGCCATAGAGCAACACCAAGAATCGAATTACTGCTTTGAATGGTTTGAGATCAGACCATTTTCAAGACCATGTTCTCGAGTAGAAGTTCAGTAATGATAAAGACGAGGTTTGATTTCATCCAGCTGATCATTGGAGCGTTGACAGCATCTGGGCTGATTGTGCCATGGCCCAACATTTAGAGAGACATTGTATGCAGCCGCCACAGAATATCACAGATTAATGCTTTGTGTAAATCACTTATAGACGCATATCAGGATGGCGGAAGCAATTTAGTTGCTTAATTTGCATGGCCAAAGAAGGCTGTAAGGCTCTAAGGCGGTGATCGGTGATAAGGGTGAGGGGTCCAAAAGGGCAGGGATCCATGTTTACAGCTCCTGACATTGACGTGTTGGTTCTTTTTTGGTTCTTTTGAGTCTTCTTGTTGTCATTACACAGTGCTCAACCAAGCCGAAGAAAGTCGATGAGCCATGAACCACGATTTGCACCTCAAGTGACATGAGCCGGATTGGTTTGGTGTAGGTTTTGTAAGACATTGACCACTAATGTATTAGACCTTTCAAGGATTGATGAGCACCAAACTCATGCCACTTCGATCCGCAAATAGCGACCAAGAGGTCTCTATTTGCCTCTTCGTGGGTCTTTGTCAACCAGTTGCTGACTGCATCTCCAAAGTACCGTTATTTGCAATTGTCGCAACTTGTCTTGATCGGGTGGAGGATGTCATCCCGGTGATTTAGGTATTATCTTGCCACAATGAGTTTTGGTTTTCCTCTTCTTTGTTCCGCTCTCCTAGCTCCAATACGATGCTGCAACAGAGGGGCTTGTGGTTTCCCAGCTTCAAGCCCCATGTGAGAGAGCTGCCACACACACATAGCTATCATAGCTTTGAGGGCCGCATCTCCTAGGTGCAACATAGGAATCTATACAGTATGTACTGTGAATTATGTACTGTGAATATATCTATGTATACATAACTCAAGCGGCTCAATGAAGTCAGAGTTTTGAATGCACCAGATGTTTGCCAATTTACACTGGCATGGTCCTTTGGACCAACACTTTTTTGCTTGCGTTACTCTGTTCCTTAGTATCCCTTAGTGTTTTTATTACAAAAGGACCAACACCCAAAGTATCGTGTAATCCCTTCCACCTTTAAAAGACACGGCCCCCCTCCGCCATTATTTAAAACAACTCGGTGATTTATATATATATAATTATATATATATTTGTTTAAAGGGGTTCCTGAAATGGAGGGACCTGCAAAGATGGACACCTGGGAAGAGCTTCGAAACAGAAAAGTCGCTCAGGAAAGTTAGACAAGTCCTTTATTAAACGCGTATATACTGTATCACAAATTGAAGAAACAAATAAACAAACACCTCCAGATCGAAGGGTATTTCCTTTTCCCTCTACAAAATCCTTTATTAAAATAGTGATCTTCATTAGACTTCCAAGCAAAGCTTTTGAAAGGTGATGTCGCTGTGCCATGCGGTTTTGTGCGACCTCGGTGGAAAGTGCAATGGTGGACAGACAGGGTGGACAAAGGTGGACAGTTAGGGTTATTTTAGGAACCTAATAAATATTTGCAAAAAAGCACTTCCATGTTGGTAGTTGTGTAGCGTCTTTATAGGGCGGCAATTACAAAACAATTATAAACCGTATTTAGGGGTCTCCGATATGATATGTTTTTTAATCGGGGGAGCTGTTTTTTGTAGTAGGTAGTCGAGATTAACTATGATGGTTTTGTTGCCGTCTTTCTCGCTAACACTTGAAGGAAATCGTGCCAACACCATGCCTTTGTAACGCTCGCATTCGACCTGTTCCAAGGTGGGATTCGCCACATTGCTTTTGGCGAAGCATCTCCGCTGCACGTCGAACGTAGGACGGAAGGAGTACTTGACCGGTGGACGTTGAGGGGTGATGAGCTTCACTTTCATCCATTTTGATCGGATGGCCTAAGTCTCTACCAATGTTTCAGTAGGCTCAGAAGAAAGAAAGGAATTATTTAGGACAGAAGGCTGGGAGTCGAAGAAATGACAATCTGAGATTCTGAGGTCCTTCACCATGACATAACCTCGGAAGAGGTCCGGGTTTTCTGAGCGAGATGGTTGCTGAAGGTGGCGATCTCTGTGGCCAGCGAACATGGCAGACAGACTCACGAAGGGACTGTGGCCTTCACATCCCACTGGTTTGAAATCCACGTTCGCATGGCTGAAGGCTGAAGGCTTCTTTTTCCTAGCGCTCAGCAGCTGGAGACTTGACAAGAACACGATAAGAACTATGCGTAATATATATATATATACATTTGCACTACTTATGCATGAATCCTTGCTGTCAATCTAAAAATACACCATAATCCCCTTTCCAATTGTGTGCTGTTTGTTTACTCCAAAGACTTGGATGTATGAACTCTCAAAGTTTGAGGTTTTAACTTCACCCTGTGAGCGGCAATAAACTCAACCCCCAGACATTCTTTCAAAGTGCTGTGGGCGTCCTTGGCTTCATGTTGAATGCACCCAGAATTGGTGTTCAGAAATAACATTAGCAACACCCGGCCGCTCAATTCCGTATTTAGATTGTAGACAGGCACATGTTGCACCAGTCAAGGTCAAGATCCTGGCAACCAGGTGTGCATGAGGGAGCCGGGTTATGGTTCATGGCGGACGGACATGGGGTGCTCTATAAGGATGCTCACTAGCTACTAGTAGCTAGAAGCTACTAGGTGGAGGCTATCGCTATTAGGTTGGAGGCCATCGCTACTAGTAGCAAGAAGCTATTAGTAGCAAAGTTGCATTGCCATGTTGTTTGGTGTCATGGCGGATGTGGATCCATCCTCGCAAGTTTTCAAAAGCTGTAATCGGATCTACTTGGGATCCTCTTGGCTCAAACACCTCAAACACAATCAGCATTCCTGCGTTTGAACATACTACCGAGAACTATCATAAAATACGAGCTAAGATCGGGCAGGGTTGACATCTATCAACCGTGATGCCATGGGAGCCAAGAGAACGGATTGCAGTCGATGTACTACTATATTGCACAACATGTCGTTACACGATGCACAATCATACGATGCATGTTTCTTGTTTTAAACAAATCTCCGCGTCTCTCCAGCTGTGGCTTGTTTCACCGGCCGTTTGTGCTGCTTAGCTCCAGAGATGCATTGCGGCCTTGATTGTCCTGATGAAGTCATAGTTGCTGTGTGTAGTTTATGTTCTTTCATGGTGAGAGGCATATTGCCTTTTTGGCGAGTGTTGGTTTGGAGGTTTGGCTTTGCAAGCTTAAACTTTTGCTGGACCCGCATGCGACAAAAGCAACTGGCAACATCATAGTGACATAGTGAAAGCTTCAGTGTGCTTAGTTTGTTTGGAAGTGTCCCTGCTTTTGCCAGTGGAGTATGCTCATCGGGGGGTCTTCATCAAGTGATTGGTGATCAGCCAAGATGTCAAGCTGATCATAGATTGATGCATTGCTTGGCATTTTCAGTGCATACAGATGGCAACATCTCCCGCATGTTTTGGCAACGCCAAAGCCTGCTGAGAGATGCCAATGGTAAAATGGTACAACAACAGTTTGCCCACAAGTGACATTTGCGTGTGAAAAAGTGATTTGAACTGCTCGATCCAGCGACCAATGACTAGGTGTTGTACAGTGGATGGGCGGATAAGTCTCCATGGATCAGTCCCTTGCCTTGCAGAGATGTTTGCACCCTTTGCCAATCCTAGCTAATAACATCTCAAGGCGCCTCCCAGGTGAGTCGCAAGGTGTTCTTCGATAGCATTCAACATAGCTTTGGGACTGCAGGTTGCGACAAATGAGCGAATTGTTCGAAGTCTCTCACCTCACCCCAAGACCTGCTTACGCACAAACTGCAGCTTGGGCCCGAGTTGCGGTGGGGCGTGGTTTGGCCATGGTCGGAGCCCAAATCATGGCCGCTTGCACTGGCCATGCAGGAAACGGAAATGGTATTGGTAAAGTTGATAGGTGTGCCATATTAGTTGATGTGGAACGCATGGTTGGGTGTTTGTTTGATACACACAAAAAAGCAGCCAAACTCAAAATCACTCGGTTTTGGGCCGACACGGCCTTGTGTAATTGGCTTCACCGCATCACTGAGGCGGGGCTCAAGGCCTTGGTGGCACCCAACCCACAGATCCCTGTGCCCGGTGTCCCAGCTGTGTTTGTTTAGCTCAATGTTCCTTCACAAAGGTCACAAAGGCCACAAGAAACATGACTTAAACATACTTAATCTTAAATTATATACTGTATATATATATATATAAACATATTTAAAGGCTTACGCCTAACAGCCGGGCGCCGGCCCACGTGGGTCTGTGTGGTGTAAGTCACTATGTTGGCCTTGGTGGGGCCTATATTGAGCAAAGTTAAGCTATCTGGTGCGCATCTTGGGCCCATGTTGAGCCTATGTTGGGCCTATGTTGGCCGCCTATGTTGGCCTAGGTTGGGCCTATGTTGGCGTATGTTGGCCCCATGTTGGCCTATGTTGGCTCTATGTTGAGACCTGTTGGAGGCTATGTTGGGCATATGTTGGGGATATGTTGGGTATCTTGGGCCTATGTTGGGGATGTTAGGCAATTTATGTGGAAAAAATCTGATAGTTCCTCCAGTTTTGTCCTCCACAAATCGTGGGGGGGGGGGACCACCCCCCCCCCCCGCGGGGGGGGGGGGGGGGGTGAAAGAGTGACTAGGGCGTACACGGTAGAGGTGCAGACCGCTAGTGTCTTTTACTCACGCAGAGTCTTATCCTATATCTCTTGAGCCTTGAAGCAGTCAAGCATGGACACACTATATCGGCTGTTGGAGTGGAACCCTGTACAGGTAGGCTCTACTTTTCAGCAGGCACAAGATTCATGTCCACTCCTAGCTGATTGCGTATGTCGCATACTCTTTTTCTACTGCAAGGCTAAAACAGTCCAGCTAGCTCTGACAACTTAAAAGAAAACTACGGTGCCATGTACTTACCTAATCCAGTGTGTTTCACACTTCAGAGAAGGTAATCTCATAGCTACTAAATACAGTGAGGGAGCAATAGCTGACTCACCTCAAGTACAAAATCAAAGCGATAATGTACCTCGGCTGGAGACTGTACTTTTCGCAGGCGGAGATACCATGTACCGGCGCTCACTAGCTCTTTATGGCCTGAGCTAAATCAAAATAAAAAGGGAAAGCGGCTTTTTCTCTACAGAGACCTATAAAAGAATCAAACGACACTCGCGTAACAAAGAACTAAAAATTCAAGACCGCACAAATTGCAATGAATTAAGATGCCTTGCAAAATGCAAGGAGCGTACGGTTCGAGGAATAATCTTCTCGTGACGTGGTCTCGACCGCTTTCATTCACAGACAAAATAAAACTGCATCAAAAGGACTCTCTTTCACATTCACATCAAAAACACAAGAAGGAGATACCGGCAAATGTATGTACAAAAAAATCGCGCACTACAATTGCAAATCATGAAATGACTTAATCATCAACCATGACTGGTTGTCCATTAGAGGTCATCTCAGAAAAGCGGCTGTGACAGATATCATCAGTTATGCAAAACTGTCCATACCTATCTACATGCTAAAGCGTATAAACCTGGAATGCAGGAGTATCTTCTTTGATAAAAGTTTCTCCTCATTGCAAACCAGAATTTATTAAAACTTCAGCCTGGCAACTTAAAGTCAAGCCTGGAAGCAAAGTATCAACTGTAACCAGAAGTATCTTCACTTCCTAGCCATCATTTAAATTTCAGCCTTCGCTCAGGAATTATGCCGCTGCAAACGATGAAGTTGCTTGATCAGAAGTTGGCGGCCTTCCTTTCCTTTTATTCTCTTTCTGTTTCTCCTTCCTCCGCAGTTTCGCCTCATGAAGAGTTGCTCCCATGCGATACTGTCTTCTGTTTCCAGATGAAAAGGAAGCTGGTCTGAGTGAAATAAACATTGGACCATGACTGTCCTCGTCAGTGGGCCTTGAGCACATTTCCTCCGTGTCAATCATAGCAAAGTTCTCTGAAAAATTACAGATGAACTCCTTCGTGCTCACTGTGGAATTTTCATATTCCTCTTCACTCATTGAATGACCCCATTCAACAATGGTAGACAAACATGTATCGCCAAGCTGTGATCCTTGGTATTCTTCTTTTTCAACAGTAGAATATTCTTCCCAGAGTTTATCAAAGTAAACTTCACACTTCTTGAGGACCTGTGAAGTTGAACTGTAAAAGGTTCTGGGAATAGGTGCTTTGATACCAGGATCTGCTTTTACACGAGCTTCTGAAAACCTGCGGATCCAATGCTGCATGGTGCTGTAATAGTAGTTCGCCATTGGCTGCCTTTTGTACCCAGACATTCTGTAGGCCAAACTATTTGCATCACCAGAAATGATGTCCACCTCATAGACAAAACACTCGTAAAGCATCAATGCTGTCTGTTCTCCTGTCAGTAGGTGGGCATCCACAGCACGGTGTGTATCAACATGATAATTACAGACTCTGATGGTATGCATGTTCGCTCGAGTAAGTGGAACACGCTTGTCCTCAGGACCATAGTCATCAAATTCAAAGTCTGCATCCTTGAAATCTTGACGAGGCCTTGTTTCTCCAAAACAAATCTCGTAGATAGCCCAAGTTACATCACGCTGGTTACAGTGACCAAGGTCTTGGTCATGTCCAGCAATGATCTTGACATATCCACCTGGTGCCAATCTGGCCATCACTGCAAGATTCTCCCAATCATTGAAACAAACTGTCCAATTCTTCTGCTCAATAAATTCCTTGGCAGGAACAAGAAGATGAGCTTCCTGGAGAATCACGACATGTGCACGTAAAAAGAAGAGCATGTTGAAGAAAAGGTTGTTCTCAAATTGCTCATTCTGAAGTGACATGGCGCTCTGTTTGCGTGGCCTCATTGCACTATCAAGTCCTTGGAGAAACCTTGGTGTGGTGTACTTCTGACCACGAACCATGTTGCCATAGTTCCAGGATAAAAATGTCAAGGACTCTGAGCTGGCCAATAAGTTAGTTCCATATGGTTCTTCTATTCTTCCTTTGAGGAACCTTCTGCACAGCTCTTCATAGAAGGTGACAAAGTCCCAACTGGGTCCCTTGGGACCATATGATTCCAGTTCATTCTTGAGTTCCTTCTTCGTCTCCTCCAATTCTTCTCGAGCATGACCTGCCCTTTCAAGGGCCTTTGGATCGACCTGATACTTGCCATCCAAATAAATGATGCGATCATCATTGATAAAGAATCTCTTCAAATCATGC